TAGTCCGACTCAATTCTAGTCAGAATATGAGTCTGATACTGCTTCATAGAGCTGTGATTATGGGGCGTGTTTTGAACAAACCAGGAAAAAAAATGCCTCTGCACTCAATTGGATAGACCTACAACCAATAAGAGCAACGGAGTGCGTGACGTATGTTAAGCGAGGCATAGTTGTTGTCCACAAAAATCAAAGCGTGTAGTTTCACGCCTAGAATAAGAAGATGAGCCTTGATCGCGTTTCTCTGTTCCTCTTTTAAAATTAATTTGCTGTCGATATCTTCTAGAACAGACCTAATAGCAGAATCTACTCACCCAAACTCTCCAGCGGCAGCCATTATTGTTGTCACCCAAGCGCGCTTTGGTCACGTGGTTGATAACGTTACTCTTGATCATCTGTCCATCATCGTATAAAGCCCCGCCCTGACAATTTGATTGGATCGCCTGACAGTGGGCTTTAATACTCGCGCTACTATGGAGCAGAGCCAGACCGAACTTCCCCGAACTCAAACCTTGTGGGCGGGACTAATTTCGGACTGGCACCCAGGCTAGCAAACATCTGCAATCAATAACAATTATTTAACATGACTTGATCAACAGCCGATACCGCAAACCGTTAGGTGGCGGTAGTGTTATTTGACAGACATGGATTTTTCCGGTAAAGGACATTCAAATTAAATTACTCTTAATTAAAAACACTTATAATTTACTGTTAAATAATTTAAAGTATGTCATAATTTGATATTTAAAGTACTTTCAGAAGTTTGAATTCTGAATATGACCAGACTTTTCCTTTAATAAATCTATTGTACATTTTTATTTTAATAGAGAGTTCACACAAAACAATTGTATTAATGCAGGGGGTTTCTCTGAATAAGATAATAATTACCTTAAAACTGTCTCAAACCAAATCTTTCACCTCCATCTGCTGCTTTGCTAAAGATAAAAAAGGCCATGCTTTCCTGCCATCGCACAAAGAGAATGCAGGCACATGCAAGGACATTGACATTTCCCTGTTTGCTCAATATTGTGTCATGTTTAGTCAAACGGGAGTAAATCAGTAGGTTGGAATATTGATATTTCATCAGGGGATTCACCCTCCACAGCAACACTTAACTCAGCCGCACACCTGAAGCTCCAGGGTGACCCCGAGGGAGACATGAAGTCTCTCTTTACTCTTTGGTAAATTGACTGGAAATAAAGAATGGTTGGGAAAATGAAAAAATGGTTGAAAAGAGGGTCAGCTCTCGATCAAGAATGACTATGAGATTATTTAGAAGTTTGTTTTTGTTTATTAACTCCTCTGTTGTCACATATTAGGAATCTCAAATAGATAAGCTGGTTGTGAATATGGGTCAATCCTACCTAAATGATTGACTTTATTAAATCCAGACTTGATCCACATTGCAGCATGACGTGCTCTGACTTTCTTTAGACCGTTTATAGCATGGTGTGGAGATTGTTCACACATTTAACATTTTTATCTTATTACTTTTTCCAAATAATTTAAGAGAATTTCTTTTTTTTATATTTTCAATGTGTTCAGTTTCATCCTATCACTATCTGAAAAATGTATGTTTTAAATTCTTCAAAACAACCTGTCAATGTAAGAATCTTTAATTCATATATTTCTGATTCTTAATTTATTGTTTTCTTAAACTTAGACAACCACAATTTTCAATGTATTTCATTTGGATTTAGCAGGGATGGACCAATCCACATGTTTCACCTCTGAAATGATTCTGGGACTTTAATTTGATATCTGCAGATTCCGATTGTTTTCCATTACCAGAGCTGTGTTTCCCTAAGCAGGTATATGTAAACCCAAATGGTCTCTTGAGATGTATAAGGTCAAAAAAAAAAAAAAAAGGAATAAATCATGTTAACTTGACAAATTCCATCCTGAAAACAAATACATAACGTATGGATTCAGACCCACTGCATTTTAATAACTCAAAGACAGATGCCCATAAATGTCTAAACATTTCGGGTGTTCAAGATATTTTTAACCTAACTAAAATTTCTTATAGAAACAAACTAAATACATCTGCTCTATGGATCCGGCTCATTTTCACCGATATCCGATGCATAACTTTTTGTACTTTTGTACATCAGGTAGGATACAGATATTAATATCGTAACAGTGCATCTCTACATTATAAATGACTGATCAACTCAGAGTTGTTCATGCTTTTAAAGCTGAAGAGAAACACTTCTTTCACTTTTTCACATTTTGACAAGTTTTTTATTCAAGCGCCTTTAGTGTACATTACATTCAGAATTATCCAGGTAGTAAATATTAGGGCACAGTGAGTCACTGAATATTGCTGCCTCATGCAGCAATATTTTGGTATTCTTGTTATAAATTTTTCCAACATTTTCTGCTACCACAGACTTTTATGAACCTGCCACATCAGATTCAACACGTTTTTAACTTCAGTAAATTATCGTAAATGATCTTCGTAAATTTAATGCAGCCCATCTATGCGTAAGTGAGCAAACATTTCTGAGAAATGTAAATCTGGCCTGATAAAATGGACAATTGCTTTTAAGTAACAACAAATGTTGTAATCTCTGTATACCCTTATTGCGCAAAACTCCTACATCAAGTCTGGAACATTTGTAAAATTCGTCCACACCTAAGGGAAGATAAGAAATAGGGGAAAAAAATGGCGAATGGGCATTTTCTCCAAAATCAATTCGTACGAACGCTTCTTGTAGGAGGCCCAATCTGTGTGTAAATATAGCTGTTCTGTAAAGATAAAAGTTAAATAAGACAACCCCGGGAACAAAGTAGAAAAAGTTTTAGTGAAATTGGTTAGGCTATGGTGCCAAATTACTGTATGCTTTCAACATCATTTGGGAGAGAGAAGATGCTCAGGCTAAAGGAACAGTAGATGGAGGGCAGTCTATAAGGCTTGAGACTGGAAGACTGAGGTAAAGGTTGACCAACCAGGACAGCAACCACTAACATCCATCATCATCTAGTTTAGATCGCCTCATATCAATGTGTTTGAATGGCCTAGTCAAAGTTTCGGTTTGACACTTTTTGCCCAGAGACTTAATCTTTTACTTTTCTTTTAGAAATAACTATCAAAACAATGATCAGCTTTACTTTTTATGGTCACCCACTCCTGCCCAAAGCTAAATAAGTTCCCATTAAATACACTGAAGTGTTAAATAGTAAAGCTGTCCAAATACTTTTGCAGTGAGCTTTAGTTTTCCCTGCCCCCCTCTAAACATGTACCGGATGTCCTCCATCAGCTGTCTGTTTGTCAGATCTGAGGCTCTGGATCGATGGCCCTTTCGCATTTGGTGGACTGATTACAATCTACTAATCAATGGCACCCCCAGCATTCTTTTCTCTCCAGCTCATTCTCCCTCTTTCCATCGCACCTCTATTTGCTTGATAAGAGCTATTGGGAGGGCCTCTATTTAGTCAGCCTGACGGACTCTGATCCATAGCAGTTTAGATTTAGGTAAGCAGCGTTGTCGCTTTAGTGCACTGGAATCACCTCCCTATTTGCCATCAAGTATGGTGAATGGTATTGTGGCTCCAGGAGCCTTTTCAGCTGTCTGTCTGTCAATGAGGTGAGCTTGAAAGCTGGAGGACAGTTGACTCCTTGACCTCCACATCAGGCCGAATTGCCACTTTGGGTTCAGAAGGTTGAACAATCAAAAGAAGAAGCTTTCTTTTATTCTGAATTATTTTAAAATCCAATTTTCCTTTTAATCGTTCTACAAAAATAAACTCTTTAAATCATGGAGCTAATTTGAAGGCAGTTGAGCTAACCAAATTCACTTAAATGCTGTATTTTCTCAGCAGTTTAATTTATCTTACATGTTTTATGTTTTTTGAAGTGGCAATTGGCTTTACTTCACTAGATGTAGTAGAAAAAGGCTAGCAAAATATAATATTTCATCGTTTTAGAAAAGTATTTAAAAAATGTGGATTGCTGCTGTACATTGCATTTTAAGGTCTTATAGTGAGGAGGATGAGCAGAGATGATGATTGGAAGGCCACTATTAGAGCAAATTAGGCTTCCTTGAAAACTAAAAAGTGTAACAGGCTGAACATTTCTACATTAAAATCCATCCATCTTCTCCCATGTATTCCATCATGGTGGCAGTGGGACGGGTGCCTGCTGGCATTCTACGGGTGAGTATACCCTAGACAGGTCGCCAGTCTGTCGCTTGGCAACCCAGAGACACACAAAGACTTACAACCATGCCGAAGGACAATTTAGAGATGCCAGTTGACTTAAAATGTATGGTTTTGGACTGTGGGAGGAAGCTGAAGTACCCAGAGAGAACCCAAACATGCACATGGAGAACATGGAAACTCCATGTAGAAATATCCCTGCCAGGGATCAATCCCTGAACCCTCTTGCTGCAAGGCAGTTGTGCTACAAACTACACCGCCGTGCAGCCTTATTAAAAAAGAGGTTTTTCCAATAATTTTGGAAGTTGATGGGACAGCATGTAGGCTTTTCATTAGCTTTCAATTATCATCATAACTTGTACTTCTTAAAACATTAAAATAAATTTGCTTTTCAATAACATTCTAAATGAATGAGATACATTTTTAGGGAGTTGACCCAAACATCAAAAGTTGTTTTTATTTTGGAACAATGTTTTTATCATTATTACAAATTGTACATTATAAATGCTTTCCGTACTTCACAAGGAAGTTTGACTAATCTGCATTGCAGATGCACCAAAGGTCTGACTGTTGATGGTTGAACTAGCCGTGGTTCATGTTTCAAAGGCCTTTTGATTTGACAGATTTATATTCCACCCTTAAGCCGGTATATACAGCACTCAGTTCTGTTTCAAGTTATTCTCCTCTTGGGAATTTACAGTAAATGTAGTTAAGTCCATAAAGCATGCAGAAGACTTACGTTAGGCTGTAACTGAGCACTGGGGTTAACAAGTTGGCCTCAAATGCACTTTTCGAAACACCAGAAAAACAAGACTAACGGTGTAACACTTTCTTTCCAACAGGTTTTTCCACACTTTCCCTGGCAGACCAAATGAGTCTGCTCCAGAGCGCCTGGATGGAGATCCTGGTGCTGAGCATTGTGTTTCGCTCACTGCCCTGCGAGGACGAGATTGTGTATGCAGAGGACTACGTGGTGGATGAGGAGCAGGCAAGGATCTCTGGCCTGTTAGATCTTCACGTCGCCATCCTGCCGCTGGTTCGACGCTACAAGAAGCTGCGCATGGAGAAGGAGGAGTTTGTCACACTCAAAGCCATCGCGCTCGCCAACTCAGGTACATTTTACACCTAAAAATCCCACAGTCACTCACTATTGTAAAATATGATTTTTTTTTTTAGGTGGCACTGAGCTGTTAAAAGGAAACTAGAAGTAACAGGTCTTCAAAAATTTTTAAGTATCAGTGCCTCAAAATACAGACACCTGCTCATGTATTGGTACCAGTGGTGAACAAGTACAAAAAGGGTTAAAAAAAATTTTTTATAGATTACATATTAAGATGTCTCGCATACAAATCATTTAAGATATTCTAACTTTTAATCTGTCCCATTGATTTATTAGATACATATATATATGTATATCGGTTAAATCAATTGTTTTTTTGTTTTTTTTTGGTTAGATGCAATCTGTGTGTCAAGTTCTTAATTTCTATGAAATAAATGTAAATAAATAATGTTTTTTTTTTTTTTATAATGTTATTTTCTCAGTTTTATCAGAAAGTTTGAGGAACTATAAATGGGATAAAATCGATCTATTGAGATACAGACACAGGGGCAATTTCCTCTCTCTGCAAAATGGGAAAGACAACAGAATAAGCCATGCAAATCAATGAATTTCTGCAAAAAAAGAGCTGCCAGCTTCAAACTGACCATATCATCGGTCACAGCAAACATTTACAAGCTCACACTACGAAAAAAGGAAGGCTTGACCGATACCAAAGGTTCTCACTGAAATCAGAAATACTTAAAGGTGCCTAATCACATTAGCCTATATGCCTATACAAAAAAAGGTTGTATGCATTAGGTGTCCATTCTGTTAGTGTTTTGAAAGTCCCTTTTCAGCCTAAATAGAATTCCATCATTGGGTGCGATGATCTGATATGAACATACTTATTCACCTTCTGCTGGCAGTACAGTGAAACTATCAGAAAGACAAAATGTGAGTCTTTTCACAATTAACGCATCGTCTTAATAGATCCTGACCATCCTGTAAAACAACAACAAATAACTACCAGCTTTTCACAATGAATTTGATTTTAATTTGTTATTTTCCTGACCTCATTGGGAGATGCTAACTTACTTATGTGTATTACTACCTTGTTAAACTCTTGTGCACGTGTACACTTTGGTTCCCCATCAATACGTAAGGACTTTACTTACTAAAGTGGGGCATAAACTGTACGACAATTCCTCAGGATCAGGAATTGTAAGGTCGGGAGAAAATCAAACATGTTTGAAATTCAGTCAGCCGTCGTCATCAGGGCGTCGGGCCCCACAGTGTGAGAACATGCATCGTTAGCTAAAAACTTTTTAACTCTTTGGTTTTGTCAAACAGTTTGAACTGTAGCTGCATGCAATGACTGAAAATATTGCAGTGTATGCCCGACTTAACAAACTGAGCAAAACCTAAGCATAAAACACAAAAATAGCAACTAATACACCAGCAAGACACAGTCAATTATTAGAAAAGTTTGCAATAAGAGTGTTTGACAGAACACTGACATGGCACACCAAACTGAATACTCCATTCCCATGGCAAAACATGGTGGTGCCAGCATTATGGTGTAGGAATTTTGCAGAGGCAGGCAAACTATGCAAGCAGTTTATAAGAAGAAGGATGGAGGCCAATGCAGGGACACTCTGGAAGAAAAACTGTTGAAGATGTGAGAGACTTCAAAATGCATCATAGGTTTACCTTCCAGCTGCTACATTTGTACAAAAAGTCATTCTTTAAATTTCCTTCGGCTTCACAAATATTGACAACTTTGTTTCTGGTTCATTGGAGATATTACCCAGAAAATACGTTCAAATTTGTGGCAATGTTATGAAAAAGCGTTGAAGAGTTTAAGAGGTACTGCATGAACATATTTTTAAAGCTCTGTCAATTCTAAAAATTGGCCAAAAATATTGAAAACCAACAGAATGAAATAAAAATGTAACGAATATGGTTCTTAATGAATGAGTTCATTTCATTCAATACCGTCATTCACATTTTTTTTTACATTAGTGGTCTTAAAAGTTATGTTTGCATGTCTAATCTTAAACCAATCAACAAGATTGCCATTTAATTAAACAAACAAAGAAAATTGACAAAAGAAATGTTAAGACCTGATCTATATCTTGTGAAATCATCACTTTCATCTTAAAGGCTGCCTGATAAGATTAAAGGTCAGAGTTCTGTTTTTTTTTTTCAGCTTCATTTTAATTTGTTCAAAGATACATGTGTGTGACTGTCACCGTGCGCTCTCATTACCTCCATCTCCATAACAGTGGCTGCCAGCGCGCCTCAGCAGAGGGAGATATATTTAGCATTTCATTAGAAAAACAGGGGCTGTCAATAAAATGTGTTAAGTGGAGTGGAATGAGCGTCGGGGAGCGACGGGCCTCGTTTGTTCCAGTGTGAAGATGCTGCGACCATATCGACAGTTTGCTTTTCATGAGGCTGGGCCTGTCCCCCAGTAATCGATGGCTGTTAGGAGTCTTTTCTCCTGCCTGACTGAAAAATTAAAAAAGATGCTGAGCGCAGAGCTTTGGCCATCTGATTACAAACTCTCCACGGGAGTAAAAGGGGGGAAGAAAAGGAAGGGATTGGAAACGTAAGGGAGAAGTGTGGGAGAGGACAGGCCTGGGGTTGAGCGGGAGGCTCAGCAAGGGCGAGAGGGCAACTTTAGCTCGTTTGAACAAAGTCTCACACAGCTTCGGCTCCACTGGTCCGGTGGGTATGACAGCTGTGGAAATTCATGGCCATTGATTTTGTAATTAGCAGAGTATCGACAGGATTGACGCCAAGCTGCTGACGGATTACACGGAAATTGTTTCTTCAAAGCAAGTTTTGCATGCCGCCTCTTAGCACCTTAAATACCCACACATAAAAACACATTTGAAGACATTTTCTGTAGTCTCACTCATGCGCTCATATGCCAAACCAGGATCGGATCAGCATTAACAAGAAGGTTTCAAACGAAGAGCACTGGAACACATGTGCGGTCCACGTAGCCTAGTTAATTTCCCAAGATAGAAATGCAATTTACACAGAAGGCGACTGGTAAAAGAGCCTTAATCAGTCAGTTAGGAACATAATTAGCCTTGTACTTTCTCTTTTTTATTCCTCATTTACATGTTCATACATGGTATTCACTTCGCTTACTGAATAAATGACACATAGCTGATTTGATTCCCTCACTATTTATCCCGCAGACATGTCTCAGTCCACTTCTGGGATGACACTGATGAAAACTTCACTTTTGTTGACTATGGTTTGTCAAACAGGCAAGACCCGAAATATTACGCTCGTCTATTAAAATCGTGTGTCAGCTTGTCCTTTTTAAGGACCACTGTTTTTTTTTTCTTCCAGAATTCAGAGTTTTACATAGAGACAGTTTTAAATAAAGCTCAACTGGTTTTATTTTAGAGCTTGTACATAAGGGGGCCAACTGCTCTTTCTTATGGAAATGAAGGCCATCTGCCACCATCATTCAGATGAACGATATCCTTGTAATGCAGCCATCTGAATTCATTAGCAAAATGGGGGGATGTACGCCGTACGCCGTGCTACCAAAAAGAAATGAATCTTTCTCCTTTACCACTGAATATTTATTCCAACCTGAAGTGCCCATCTCTTTCCCCTGAGCCTCGGCCACGCACAGGCATTTATTTAAGGAGCATCATTAACTACTAACAAGAGGAAAAGCTCTCTCCAAAATTGCATGTTTGCATTTACAAGCTGTGGAATGTAAACCCAGCTGTAAAACAGGTAGCTGCAGCTGCATATTTGTGCTGCGCTGCATATAAAAAAGATCCTTTATTGTTACTGAATTTATTTTTAAGTAGCTTTGTTGCCATAATTCTATATTAATGTAACAAACTTTGATCAGTCTCCATCTATCCTCAGTGAAACTCAAAGATGAATAATTTCTTAATTAGGGAGCAAGCCCATGTTTATCAAAATTAAGAATTAGAATTTAAATAGTCTAAGAATTAGGCTACGTCATTAAGTAAAAGAAAGAACCGACAAGCATTGAATGTGATCTTATAAGACTGTTTAATAAGAATAGGACTAAATAGGAAACATACTTTTATTTTTTTAATTATTATTATAAAAGTCAAAGTTTTAAAGGGTCTCATTCTGTAGTTTAAATAAAGTTTGTTTTGTTTGTCTTTTTTTTTTTTTTTTTTTTTTTTGCTTTAAGTTTGAAATACCTTATTTTGGGGATTTATGGTCCGGTAGGAATTCAAAATGGAATCTTCGGGATTTCTGTTTTAGTTTTCTGCATCAGAATCCTGGACAGCACAGATGCATAGAACAAAGTAAGGTGGCTGATTTCCCAAATCTACCTAGTGTCTCATGTGGGGTCCTGTGATCTCAGTTTTTACTCTCTTTCTCAGCTAAAGCCGACAGAAGACTGTCGCTTCTTGTTAAAGAAAACTTTCTGTTACATATTTGCAAAGGCATAGTGTAAAACAATAGCTAAAAACTCGTTTCTTAACAGTGGAAATGACTGGCGGTGGAGTTTTTCTAGTTCAAATTCTAGGATTGAAAGCTCATTTGCTTTAAGGCACACAGAACTCCTTGGAGACAAGATGTCACCAGAAATGATCAGCCAATCAGGGCAGAAATTTGGGAATTTTGGAAAAGTCAAATTGCACACAATGGTCAGAAAAATATAATCCATTATTTGTCTTGAAAATAATAAATGCTGAGAGAATGAAAAAGATGTGGTTGTGGATTAATATTATCACTTTGGCTGAAGCAGACTCCCACATTCAAAATGCTTTGCAAGTAATGGATGTATAGAATAAGCAGGAAATGGTGCATTTCTGGGTTTTACTCAATAATCTTTTTTTATTAGATTTATTGTGAATTAAATATGGATGATTTGGAAAACAACAATAAAAATGTTAGTTTTTTTTAATACAAATTATATTTAAAGGATACCTTAAAATATATTTAAATGCAACCAGACAGTGTTTGGCTTATATAGCATAATAAGACAGTAAAATCATAAATTTAATGAGGATTCTGTAATGCAGTCTGTGTAAAATTATGTAGTTTTCCTCAGCTCTGAAATTATCACCAAAATTAACAGGGGGCATCTTTTTTAAAAGGGCGTTGAAAGTATTTTAATCTGTGAGAAAGGTCATGTTTGGCTCCTGTAAAAAGTTAATTTAGTACATTAATTCTTATGTTTTTTAGTTCATTAACTTTTTTTATGTTGGTAACTCACAAATTTACAACTAAATCCCCCAAAATATTCCAAAATGTTATGTTGTAATGAGGAAGTTTAGACTCCTCACCAGATGTCTTATCTCTTTTTCCTTCCTCTCTACTCAGACTCCATGCACATAGAGAGTGTAGAGGCTGTCCAAAGACTCCAAGACTCTCTGCACGAGGCTCTGCAGGATTACGAGGGATCCCAGCACCCAGAAGACCCCCGAAGGGCAGGGAAGCTGCTGATGACCCTGCCTCTGCTCCGTCAGACCGCCACAAAGGCTGTTCAGCACTTCTACAGCATTAAAATGCAGGGTAAAGTTCCCATGCACAAACTATTCCTTGAGATGTTGGAGGCCAAGGCCTGACAACTGGAGCAGCTGCAGACTTCAGTCAGAGACAAGAAACACAACATAAGAAATAAAGGTGGAGTGCCAATTAACAGCCAAAGGATGACGTTGGGCTCTGAAGTCATTTTATCTATTTAAATAAGAGCAAAATTTGAAGAAAAAAAAAAGACGTGAAATAATTTTTAAAAGGAGGTGATATGAACTAAACAAATGTTTGATGTTGTTTATGTATAAAGGGATGTACAGAAATCAGAAAACTGAGGTCTTGATATAACCAGAGACCCATTGCTCTATATCAACTGAATCTTCTGTGAATCTGTTTATTTTTCTTTTAATCTCAAAATGAAAAAGTGATAATATAAAGACGTGTACAGCAACGTAGCCACATTTTGTGTTCTAGTTTCTTCTGTTTTCTTTTCTCACTTGTTCCAGCAATAGACTGTAACTGGTCTAGTTAAAAAATGTACTGTAAGTTTTGTGAAATTTCACTAAGGGAAGGGGAGAAATATTAAATGCTTCCTAAACTTATCATTAAATGATAATCTTTGTGTAATTACCTCATAGTTAATTCATCGGCTATTGTAATCAGCTTGGTATTTGATCAGCTCTCATTGGTCACTAAAGATCTGTCTTAATTGTTCACTCGTTCAAAATAAAGTCAGAAATTTAATAACAGCTTTCAATTGACATTTCATCTCCTTTGTAGTCAAGCAGAAATGTGTTAGCCGTCATGCTAATACCCACAGCTAATTATTCTGAATTTAAAATTTCTAATGTTTGGAACATTTTTAAATAATTTTGTATTCCAAAAAAATAAATTCTAAATGGCCATTAACCTGAGTTTAAAATGACCTTTTTCAAATTTAGGTCTAGGAGCTGACTGTGGCTCAATATGGCACAAACCATGTGTGATCATTGTGCAGTGGCTACTACAGTATCTCTGAGTGGGCATTTTATGGGCTTTTAACGTGTTCTGCGCTTGACCATTTTGTAAAACTTAACTGCTACCAAGAGCAATACATTTATTTGTTATTATTTGTTCAGGGCTTAAGCATATTGAGCACATTACAATGCAAGACCAACTCTACCATTTACTTTGTCTTATTGAAGCATTTCTAAATAAAAAGTTGATCTTGATAAAGGGAAAGAGCATCAAGCTATGTCAAAACTGCACCTTTAAATTGACTTTAAATGTAGAGGCCTGCCTACAAGCCCAGTAACACATCTCATTTAAGCTCTATTTTAAAACCTTTCCCCTTCTAAAAAGAAAAATAAATAAATAAAAAACTGTATGCGCCTCGAGGCCTCTAATCTGTATTGTGTTTTGATCTGCTGTGAAGTCTGATAAAAAGTTATTGTTGGCATAGTAAATATTCCCGGAGATCATATGCTGCATTTTTTAAAACAGTTCAACCTAAACATACCAAGGTCATTATGCCAGTTAAAATAATAGCAGTAGTATTTTCACTCCCAGCTTCCTGTTATAAGATGTTTGTGCTTAAAGTTTTTTTTTACTTCCTGCGCTTAGTATTTTTAAATCCACATTGGGCTAGGGATTTTAGCTTGTGTTTTTTTTTTTTTTTTTGTTGGAGAGGGGAAAACACATTAACCCATATAAAAAAAATGTGTCTTTTTGCTGTTCAAACATTTCTCAGATAGTTTAAACAGTAAAAAATGAGATTTACATTTTACTTTACTCCGTAAAAATACAAACTGCATCACAACCAACCTTACAGTATGAATTTTGAAATCTATACTTACGCTGCAACTCTGAAAGAAGGAGAAAGTGTAAACAACATAACTTAGGGACATAGTTATACAAAGCCTGTGTAAAATCCATACAATAGATTTTTTTATGGATGATATTATTTTGTGTAATAAAGGGTGAAACTTTACTTCTGCAGCTATAGTTTATGGTTGAGAAAATATCAAAAAATAGTCAAAACAGTTTTTTTGCGAATCATGCCATCACTTGTTTATGACAGAAAATGACAAAATTTTTCTTTTGTACTTTACCTTTTAGGTTTATCTTACCTGAATTCCAAAACAGGAAATAAAAAGAGATGATGTAATGCAAGTTTGTTGATTCTCATAAATAAAGAAAAAATTAAAGACTTTTAATGTTTTCATCACAGTTAGATGGGAATCAGGATGCTGGATAATTTATAGAGATCAGACATGGAACAAAAATATCTACTTTTTTTTTTTTACATCAAATGTTGTAGAAGTGCAGTCCTATTGGCAAGAGGGACCTGTACGATATATTGATAGTTGTAATTAAAAACTATTATCAGTGTTCTGTTTTCTTTGTACATAATGCTTAACACACCTGATGTTTTAGGCTGTTGAAACAAACAATACTTGTTAGCCCTACAAAATCAGTGAAAGAACGAGTGAACATTTTATGTACAGCTAAAGGTTTGCATTTATAATTGACAACAAAAATCGCACTTAACAAAAAAAGCTATGTTTGAGTCACCTTTTAAGAAGCTGCACCTCTTCCTAATTTACATTGTGCTGATACTGGGTACTAAAATGCTGTGAAACCAACTCAATAATGATAAGCTATCTCTTGTTCTGATGAGTTTTTTTTGTTTTTCTTTATTAAAAATCATATAATTATCAACTATCTGGTATACTGATGCAGCCAGAAATCATACAATAGCCACTAACGTGATTGTAGGTGTTCATTTGATGCTACACTAGTTTGTAAGGCTTTTAATTTTAGACGGCAATGTTATGGAGTCCATTTTATTATAGATATGTTGCATTTCCTCATATACACCTGTACTGGTTTAACTCAACATGAGAGCTTGCTTATATTGACAGGCTTGAAACTCTTTAGCCATTAACTTAGGCTAGTGTTTTGTAGGGAGTTAGCAGAGAAGCTAGAAAACACTAGAATGGCAAACTTATTTATTTAAGTTTTGGCTGAGAAAACAGTCGCACTTCTTTGCTCATTGCTGTTTTTTTTATTTGACATTTCAGATCACATTAAATTAAACTGAATTATGCCCCAACTCCTAATAATACAAGTAGTTTGTTAGCATAAAAAGACATGTTTTTTGTTGAGTAAGACATAAATGCAGTATCCAAGGAAAAATTCAGAGACTAGGCTTCTTTCTTTAACCGTTTCTTTCTATATTATTTTTATTATTTCAATAAAAACCAGTGGTTTTGACATTATAATTTAGCCTATTATTTTTTTCTTGAAGCCCAAAAGAACCCAGGCTGCTTGTTACTTTCCCTCACTGTATATTCATATAAAAATGTGATTAGATTATCAGCAGCACAAATACTTAAAACTAAATTCAACTTGTGGATTTTTATTTTTTTTCTATAACAAAGTTATGCCTCAATTTTCCCCTCAAAATATGGATCACAGGGTAATAATGATGCTCAGTTTGACATTACCTACATTCTTTTGTTATTTTCATGAAAACTTTCAAGTTTGAATGTTTTCCATTATTTTGCAGTAACTAAAGTCTCAATCAGAACTAAGGCAATACTAACAGTGTACATTATTACAACCTCATTTTGTAGATGTTTTTTTAAATACTGGTGCTAAACATTCTGAGCAAACAATTTAGCTTATACATGAGTATAATCCAAAAAGTAATCATAAGCTTTTAGAGTGCAAACTCTAGCAGCTGCAAACTGGTTGCCAAAGTTTAAAAGCTGAGGGTCATTCCGCTTCTTCACTGGTTTTTACCATTACATTTTGGTATTTTTGTATCAGACTCTTTTGGACATGAAAAAAAAAAAATACTGTTCCAGTGGTGGACTGATTTGTATGTGACTATAGGGTTTTTTTTATGGTAAAACAAAAGATATTGTGTTTTTGACTTAACTAATCTGTTAATCATATAGCTATCTACGTTTGATAAGTACTTATAATTTTTAATATCCCCTAAAAGTTCAAAATCATGGCTTGAATCATTTAATAAAAGGAAACTCATTTGGATTATATAAATAAGTGAATTCTATTTAATGCATGTTGAATTAAACTCATTTGATTGTGATTCGTGAAATTTAAATTCCCAATTCTAGCTTTATTTAAAAGAGAAATAAACTGAAAGGCATTGGCTATATCGGTTTACATTATAGGTAGGACATTTCAATAAGGTAAGTAATGGAGTGGTAATGAAATGGTAATACCTTGGTATAAAATGAGGTTTGGAACTGGTGAAGAGAGCGAAATGACACGAAGCTGAACTTATTTCAGGATAGCACCTAGCATATCATGATATAGAAAAACTTGATAGCATGTATTAGACCAGGTTCAGTAATTTAAGCGGGTAGGGTTAGGCATGTCGCTGATGACAGTCAATTCTAAGATAACAGGTCAGTCAGCAGCTTTTAGGATTTTAGTTAAAAACTTGTTGTGTAAAGTGCCATTAATTTTTGGCCAAAATCTAATAGAAACATAAGCAAACAGAGACTCCGAGGGCCTCTTAGAGAGATGCTATCAATTAACTATAATTTAACGCCAAATCAGTGCAACCTGACGCCTTTCTATAATGCACCTCCTCAATTTTTAACCATCTAATCTACCCACGTTTAAAATAAGTGATGTCTTACCTCTAATCAGTATCAAACCAAAGCAAAAACACTAATACAGCTGTGTTTTTGCAATTTTTTTTATTTGCAATAAGAGTTATGCTTTTATTTTAATGCTGTTGAGTCCATCCAGTCTAAGTTTTTATGATAGGGATGATAATGAATACCTTTGTAAAGGATATACAGGATAAACGGATGTGTAATTAACAGAAGAATGAACATAATTTCTCTTTTTATGTTTGCAGAGATAGATTTGACCCCCCAAATTTTTGTTGTGAGAAGAGCCTTTAAACTTGTTTTGACTTAAATAACACAGGAAAAGAAAACCGTTTAGCTTTTCCCCACATAAAATTGAGGTGATAAAATAAAATAGAAAATTGCCTAATTTATGTTCAGACTTCTAAAGCGGTTCTACAATATCCAATTAATTCTAATTGTGTCCTAAGCTGAAATTCTCAGAAGAAATGGAGCAATTAAATTTCTGCTTTAGCGCTACCTTGGGGACAAGAGACGTTTTATTTCAGCTGACAGTAGGGAGTTTTTTTTTTTTGTCTAAATCTCCATAAAGGCGATTTCATGGGTATTTGTAATAGTTT